CAGCCTGCAGCTCTGCCCGTCCTGATGTCAGGTGACTCTCTACCTTTCTCACCTCACAAATTCACCCATTCATCCGTGTCGCCCAGAGGTGATGTCACTGTTAAATCCCCGGTGACCTCTCACTCCCAGGTGCTATACCTCACCCTGCTGGCAGCCGGTGTCGCTGCCGTACAGTGGTGCAGCGGCAACCCTGATGTAGACACTAACAAACAGCCTGCGTCAGCAATAGACCCTTTGAAAATATCACTGAAAATTAGAATGAAAATGTTCAGGGAAGCCTCCGTGGCATTTAGGGCCTACTTAGCTAAATAACTGACAATGTTCTGGTTGTGTTACAGATACAATTTGTCATAAAAGTAAAAATGTTATCTCAAATAAAAAATATATTTGAAAAAATAAAAGGTTAGCTGATGTTACTGCAGCACAGAAGATAAACTACATTTCCTATAAATGCTATAAAAAAGGCTAAACGATAACTAACTAACTAACTAAAGATGTAGCTCAGGTTTAGCTAAAGTTAGCAGAGCAGAGAAAATAGAAGGACAGACGAAAAAAAGGTTTGAAGTCTGACCAGAAATGATTCAAACCAGTACAAGGAACCAAAACAAAAGTTAGCAAAATATCTAATGTTACACAAAACACAGCCAAATGGATGGAGAATGATTAGATAAAACTGAGCTAAACCAAGCTAACTGCTAACCAAGAGGAAAAGAAATGATTTTTGGATGATCAAAATGTGTCTAATCAGAAACATACAATAGTTATTTATAAGAATCCTTTAGCTAGCTTAAAGTTAGCATACCGCCGAAAATAATCTGGGAATTTAAACGGTGGCGCTAATAGATAAAGTATATACACAGTATAGTCTACAAAATACAAACGTTTCAGATTGAGAGCAAAGATACTCAGCAGAAACCAGCCAGTGCAGCGTTTGAGTCTGGGCTCCACAGTTTTTTACTCCCTGCTCCAGGTTTTCTGCAGCGTTGCCAACATTTTAATAAAACTGATCCAGGACCTGCAGGGCGGTGGAGGCAGCTGAGGTAGCTTCACTTCCACCCAGTCGATGCAGCCAGCCATCAAACCTCCTAGCCCTGCCCCTCAGTGGGGAGCACCACGGCGCCTGCTGTGTTGATTTCAAGTATGATCCATTAATCATGGGCCGACACTTTCAGAACTTTGATGAGAGCCGGCATTGAATTCCAATGATGGGCTGCACCCTGGCTGCAGGTGCCCTCAGAAAACCTCCACGCCGATCAGTGCCGAGCGTTTCCTGCCTCCAACGTTCCACCACTTTGACCACGGTCTCCACTCTTTATCTGCTAATACAGCAAGTCTACTTCAGGTAATGAGCATCTGTTAGCCACATTAGCTTTGATTAGCCAGAACATTAGAGCAACTATTAAATAACCAGAGGAAAACCAAGGTTTTGACCAACTTGTCATCAGTGTTTAACCCATCCATAACCAGTCTGGTTATTAATGGTTAAACTGGTGCAAATCAAACCATCAATCCCCAAATTCAAAGTCCAATCTTTTGTCCTCTAGTCCACAGGCTAGAAGTTAGAACGGTAACTTAGAGTATCTGTCAATACCAATGCTAATGATACAAAGATCTGTTCTTTTATCCTCCTCAATGTCGTTGCTGAGTCAATAGTGTTTATTGAATGTCCCGGAAAGTTAGTTTGAACATTTGGACTAAAACTCCTGAGTATAATCGACCGTGACAGGACTGGACTGGACTGGACTGGACGGGACTGGACTGGACTGGACTGGACTGAACTGGACAGGACTGGACTGGACTAACTGGACTGGACAGGACTGGACTGGGCTGGACTGAACTGGACAGGACTGGACTGGACTGGACAGGACTGGACAGGACTAGACTGGACTGGACTGGACAGGACTGAACTGGACTGGACTGGACTGAACTGGACTGAACTGGACTGGACTGGACAGGACTGGATTGGACTGGACTGGACTGGACTGGACTTTACTGGACTGGACTGGACTGGACTGGAGTGGAGTGGAGTGGAGTGGACTGGACTGGACTGGACAAGACTGGACAGGACTGGACTGGACTGGACAGAACTGGACTGGACTGGACTGGACTGGAGTGGAGTGGACTGGACTGGACTGGACAAGACTGGACAGGACTGGACTGGACTGAACTGGACTGAACTGGACTGGACTGGACTGGACTGAACTGGACTGAACTGGACTGGACTGGACAGGACTGGACTGAACTGGACTGAACTGGACTGGACTGGACTGAACTGGACTGGACAGGACAGGACAGGACTGGACTGGACTGGACAGAACTGGACTGGACTGGACAGAACTGGACTGGACTGGACTGGACTGAACTGGACTGGACAGGACTGGACTGGAGTGGAGTGGACTGGACTGGACTGGACAAGACTGGACAGGACTGGACTGGACTGAACTGGACTGGACTGGACAGGACTGGATTGGACTGGACTGGACTGGACTGGACAGGACAGGACTGAACTGGACTGGACTGGACTGAACTGGACTGAACTGGACTGGACTGGACAGGACTGGACAGGACAGGACTGGACTGGACTGGACTGGACTGAACTGAACTGAACAGGACTGGACTGGACTGGACTGGACAGGACAGGACTGAACTGGACTGGACTGGACTGGACTGAACTGAACTGAACAGGACTGGACTGGACTGGACTGGACTTTACAGGACTGGACTGGACTGGACAGAACTGGACTGGACTGGACAGAACTGGACTGGACTGGACAGAACTGGACTGGACTGGACAGAACTGGACTGGACTGGACAGAACTGGACTGGACTGGACTGGACTGAACTGGACTGGACAGGACAGGACTGGACAGGACTGGACTGAACTGGACTGAACTGGACTGGACTGGACTGAACTGGACTGGACTGAACTGGACTGGACTGGACTGAACTGGACAGGACTGGACTGGACAGGACTGGACTGAACTGAACTGGACTGGACTGGACAGGACTGGACTGGGCTGGACTGAACTGGACAGGACTGGACTGGACAGGACTGGACTGAACTGAACTGGACTGGACTGGACAGGACTGGATTGGACTGGACTGGACTGGACTGGACAAGACTGGACAGGACTGGACTGGACTGGACAGGACAGGACAGGACTGGACAGGACTGGACTGAACTGAACTGGACTGGACAGGACTGGACTGGACTGGACCGTCATATCGTCCATGTAATTATGGGGTTGCAAAGTACTGAGCCAACACAGGAGACATGTTCTAGAGAAACCAAGTAATGAAGGAGACCCCCCCTCACCCTCACCCCCCTCTCCTTCAC